TATATATATATATATATATATATATATACTGGTTGGAGCCCGAGAGGTTTGGCATACGAAGATGTCTCCCTCTACCAGGTCTCTTCAGGTACACTCAGGGAGATTGGGTTACGTGATCCTTTTGTTGTCAGCTCCGGACAGTTGATCCCAAGAGTTCTCGACCAAGTATGGTTAGTGTGTGACATTGAGGGATTCATACGTAGATGCAAGGACTTGTCCTGAATTTCGTTGTGGGAACTGGGAATGACTCAGTTATTAGAACAGTGGTTCCCCCATCGGAGAGTCGCGGAAGGTTTGTTGCTTTGTTTCATGCCGTTTTCGCACCATAATGACAGTTCGTCAGGACATTTTTGGGTAGACTGTAATGTGTACAGATGGAACACTCAATAAATTTTGATAAAATTGGGTTTCAAGGTAAAGAAAAACGCAAAATCTCTCTCCTTGAAAGACTATTCCTGAGTTTATTGTCCAAACTGTGGAGTAAAGCAAATTTGTACCTCAACACTTATGTTAAAAACTTTGTATAGATATTACTTTCGGTTATGAAGTTCCACCTTGCGCATGACTGAGCTGGTTGTTCAACAGAAATGTGAATCTTATCCCTGAGATGTAATGTGACTGACTTCAAGGTGTAATAAAAGCACTATTTGATTCTGCACTCCGGCCTCTTTACTCTGTGTTTGCATTGAACTGGAGCCCAAGTTTCCACTTTCGGTGTATTGATGTCCATGACGGTGGATAAAGCGGAAACTGAATAACTGGACTGAAATGAATGGGACACCTTATGAAGCTTCAAGACCGTGCGTCGAACACCTATGCTGGGACAGTGAAAAGAAACTTTGTACTTTATGAACGTGTGAAAAAATTCTCCCGTGGAAGATGAACCAAATTTCTTAATCGTGTGTTAAAAGGGATCCATCAAACCATTCCAAAAAGTAGCATGTGGGGACTTTGGTTGTCTCCTTATACCTGTCACAAATACCACACCAGCAGTAGTTTCTGATACTTAGCTACCAAACAGATGGATAATATGCAGACAAGGTGGGAGAGAACTCGGAAGTACTCATGAAGTAAAATTGAAAATGTTCTATCCCGGCTGCTGGGCAGAGCAACTAAAGCACTTGAGATGATGTAATCATGCAATGCTAGTGTGATAATAAGCCACTCTCACTGGCGTAATTCATGCTTGTTTGATACCGGGGATACTATCAAAGTGCTCATGCTTGGATCCTCAGCGAATGAGCTCAAATGCTTATTCACAAGATAGCAGTGAGAGATTAGTGCAGTCTAAATTTTGTGGGACTAATCGACCTATTCTTCATTCGAAACCCGAAAGACCAGGAGATTGTGTATCACCCACTGGTTCTCCATCTAAGGTGCGAAAATGCTTTGGGCAGGTTGACCGTTCACTCGATGTCTGTTACGGCAAAACTCTACCGTCGACCTGACGCCAATGAATTTAGCTAATCGGGTTTGTTGCATGAAAATCCAGCTGGCGCCGTCATCTCATTGCTTTATTGAGTGCCATATAATCGAACTCAAGAATGAGGCTGATTCAGTCAAACGAAAGCAATTTGTTCACCCGCTTTCCCCCTGATTTAAGTAGCGCAGTTCGCAACTAGAAAACGTGTTTTTCTCTGAAAACCGTCCACAAGTTTCCGAAAAATATCAAACTTTTGACGTGTGATTTTTGATCTGCCCATCAACTCCGGTTTTCTTAAATACTAGTGGTTTCGGTTGAGTGGCATTGTAAGTAGAGCTGTTGCCTGAAAGATTTAACGAAGCTTCAATAACAGACGGCCGGTGAATTTCACCTGGGCACTCAGGTTTTATGGGTTCAGCACTGCAGTAGACAGACTCGTTATGGCAGGGATAGCCATGTAGGTATACAGCCGTTTCAACTAGGGAGGGTGTATACTTACAGTGACTACGATGCAAGCCAAATACTACAGCAATTTTGTGATTAGTTTCCTTCATGAAACTATACTACGATATATCGAATGTCGTACCAACTGAAACGTGAGGCGGCCTTTGTGCAGCACATTCAGATGAAGAACATCACAGACGAGAGATTCATTTGAGTTTCCCGTGAAAATCAAATTGATTTGCAACAGCAGCACCTTATGAGACGCCGCTAACCAGGTTTCAGGAACGAGTGACTCAGTGCAATGCCCAATAACCTAGGTGACGAAGCACAAATTCTCATTTTTACATGCACCGTCAAGTGGATCAAGCTACAGAACAATCATGAATTGTATCAAAAGATGAATTTCTGAGAGGGAGAGATGAGAGCTAACGGAGTGATGAATTGATCGGGAATGCGAGAAGTCGCCAACCAATTACCAGTCATTTAAAGGAATATGAGCAATAAAAAAAGAAATATTGGTATCCACTGAGTTAGGACATGGGCTGCCGCGTGGAGTGTCTCCGGTTCGAACGTGCCTTGAGTTTTTGGTCGATCGTTCAGCTTTGAACAGCGTGACAATAATATCTTCGGACAGCCATAAATGAGTTCTTTGATCAGTGATCAATGCACTCTGGACGGCATTTATTTGTCTTCATGTTTCTCTGATTCAACTAGATTGTCAACTTTTGGTCCGGATATCTTCCAGAGACTTTTTCACTTATAGTGCCTTTTTAGGCACTGTTCGGCGGTTATCCCTCTCGGATAACTGATGATTTGAAACTCATTAGAATTCAATAGAGCATCATGTAAACTGTCTCTTGATTAGCCTCTTCAAGGTTAACACGAGGTGAGCTACCGTTTTTACCCTGACTTTGAATTACATCTCCATGTAAATTCTCCTAAAACCGCTCGTATCGACATGAATGCAACCATCTTCGATCTGTGTTTATTAGACCAGTGGAATAAACCGACACGTTGCAGTGGATATGTATAAAAATTTGGACGAAATCCAGTCATTAAATTGATGATGATACCTTCCTGCTGTTTAAATCGGCTTGTAGCTCTGCGATGCTTTTCACAACGGCTCCTGTGAACCACATAAAACTGAACTGTCCACATTCTGTTCTGTACAGTGCCGCTTAAATTAAAGGGAACTGAGAGACCTTATGCATTACACAGGATGAATTCTAATGAGACCCGTAGAAGTCCTCAAAACAATGAATATAGGAAGCATGGCTTGATCTCTCTGATCCTTATCAGACTGACACATCACGAATTTCGATGAATACTCACAGTAATCACGTACCTTCTAGGGTCTGTACCGAAGGGGATCAATGCATTCAGGTGGTTTGTCAACAGGAATTGATCGTGTCACTGTTGGCTGTGAAGGTGTGGCCGGACTGAGCGACTGTCGATAATGGGGTGCCAGTACCACTAGCCACCAATGAT